GTCTGGTGGGCTCCCAGGAGGAGCTGGCGTCTTGGGGACATGAATACGTCAGGTGAGCCTGGGTGGGACCTGGGTTTGGGGAAGGACAAGGGCTCAGGGGGATTTCCCGGAGCGCTTCAACTCTGGCCTGCCTGGGAGGTGTCCCGACGTGCTGGGCTTGTGCTCGGCTACCCCATCGTGTCTGCACATGTGTCACCCCAACCTCTCTCCAGAGTGATTTGCTAGCTGCAGAGATCTTGCTGCCGTGACCTCTGTAATCTGTGCTCTTAACCCTAGTCCTCCCCTGGGCTTGTCCTCCATCAGCTCTGGCAGGAATGTGGAGCCCCCACAAACAGTACGCAGCCCTGGCTAACTGGTGGCAGCGGCTGCCCATCCTTAGGGGTGGGTGAAGCTGGTTTCTGTGGCTGTGATGTCACTTCGTCCCCGCAGGCACCTGGCAGGGGAGGTGGCCAAGGAGTGGCAGGAGATCGATGAGGCTGACAAGGCTCAGAGGGACACGCTCCTCACCCTGGTCAAGGAGATCGTCCCCTACAACATGGCCCACAACGCGGAGCATGAGGCCTGCGACCTGCTCATGGAGATCGAGCAGATGGACATGCTGGAGAAGTACATCGATGACAACGCCTACTCCAAAGTCTGCCTCTACCTGACCAGGTGAGGGGCCTTGGCAGTCTCAGGCACCGGAAGGGGCCTGGTCCCCGGTGGGCTGAGGCTGACTGACGTGGTCGTCGCCCTCGTGCCTGTCTCCTCCTCAAAGCTGCGTGAGCTACGTCCCAGAGCCCGAGAACTCGGCTCTCCTGCGCTGTGCCCTGGGCATCTTCCGCAAGTTCAGCCGCTACCCTGAAGCCCTGCGCCTGGCTCTGATGCTCAACGATGTGGAGCTGGTGGAGGACATCTTCACTTCCTGCAAAGATGTGTAAGCGGAGACTCCTTCCCTGGCCTCTGGGGCCTTTTCCCGTCATGGTGGGGCACGGCTCCCTGCCTCCCCAGAGTTGGGTGGGATCCTGCCACCACCGGAGCTGTCTGGGGGTTCGGACTGGGGTTCTTGGTCCTGAAATCAAGGTGGGCAAGTGTGGGTTGTCTCTGGGCTGCTGTTGTATGCCTCTGGAGTGGGGCGGGCTGGCTTGGCGTTTGGCGAGCCTGTGTTTGTGCTGACGTTGGCAGCGGTCTGGGCACTTGTGAGAGCTCTTCCCTCTGCGCAGAGTTGTCCAGAAGCAGATGGCCTTTATGCTGGGCCGCCACGGGGTCTTCCTGGAGCTGAACGAGGATGTGGAGGAGTACGAGGACCTGACCGAGATCATGTCCAATGTCCAGCTCAACAGCAACTTCCTGGCTTTGGCCAGAGAGGTGAGTCTCCCGGCTGGGGAAGGAGCCCCGGGCTGCCTCCCGCTGCAGCTGCTCTGGCTGCCGGGCTCCGTGGCAAGATCTGGGAAGAGATCCGTCATCCCTGTGAGCTTGGCCGGGCACTGCCTGGAGAGGTTGCCCCTGTAGAGTGGCTGCCCTGAGTGTGCTGGCCGGGAGGTGACCCCCTTCTCCCTTGTCTCTGCAGCTGGACATCATGGAGCCCAAAGTGCCGGATGATATTTACAAAACCCACCTGGACCCAGCTGCCTGCCGTGGATTTGGGCTCCTCCTTGCTGCTGGTGGTGGGACAGGTCCTCGCCTGGCCGTGGCGTGGGACAGCTCTGCGGTGGAGGGCAGGCAAGGCTTCTCTCGCTGCTCGGCTCACCCTGCTGTCATTCCCCAGGGTTCGGGGGGAGCGGTTCCCAAGTGGACTCGGCCCGGATGAATTTGGCCTCCTCCTTCGTGAACGGCTTTGTGAACGCTGCGTTTGGACAGGACAAGCTGCTGACGGACGACGGCAATAAATGGTTGTACAAGAACAAGGACCACGGTGAGGGGGCCGGCTGGAGGTACCCCTAGGCTTGGGGTTGCTGCCGTGTCCCTTTTGGGGACCTGCTGCAAGGGGGGGCTGCAGGGCACGGCTGCCCTGGGCTGCCCCGTGTCCCTGGCCACCACCTGCCCCAGGCAGGGCACGTCAATTCAGGGCTGACATGGGCTCTTCTCCCCTGGAACCGCAGGGATGCTGAGTGCTGCAGCCTCGCTGGGCACGATACTGCTGTGGGACGTGGATGGGGGGCTCACGCAGATCGACAAGTACCTGTACTCCTCGGAGGATTATATCAAGGTCGGTGGCACCGATCCCAGCATGGGCCCCGCGGCTGCGTGGGGCAGCTTTGCGGTGGGCTGGGCACGCGGCTGGCTCGGGGAACGGTTGGCCCTGCCTTGGTCCGCTGTGCGGCTCAGCTCCTGCCCAGAGATGGGTCGGATGCCCTGTGTCCCAGGTTTTTGCGTGGCTCACAGCAGGGCAGGGAGCTCTTGGGGACTGCCTGAGGCACCTTTGGGGTCCCCTTGTCACAGAGCTGTGAGCTTTGGACCGCTCAGCTGGATCCAGAGTGGCATTGCTCTCTTGGTACCCCCTTGCCCGTCCCGGGGAGTGGGTGCGATGTGTGGGGTGACGTTAGTCACTGGGTGATAGGGAGCTTTGCCTGTTGGTGGCTGATGCCTGACAGCGCCTCTGCCTCGCAGTCGGGAGCCCTCCTGGCCTGCGGCATCGTCAACTCGGGGGTGAGGAACGAGTGCGACCCTGCCCTGGCCCTCCTGTCTGACTACGTCCTCCACAATAGCAACACCATGAGGATCGGAGCCATTTTTGGGTAAGGGCCTAACCCCAGCCGACCTGGGACTGCGCAGGGTGGTGCGGCTCCCCCCTCGTGCTTCCCCCTCATGCTCCGCTGGATTCTCCGCAGGCTGGGGCTGGCGTACGCAGGCTCCAACCGTGAGGACGTCCTGACCTTGCTGCTACCTGTGATGGGAGACTCCAAGTCCAGCATGGAGGTAGGGAGCGAGGCAGGGTTCGCCTGGGGTTCCTGCTTACCCACCTGGTCCCCAGCAGCTCCGGGGACCACAGGGGCTGTCCTGCAGCCGGTTTGGGCTCCGGGAGCAGGGCTGCGCGTCCCTGCTTGGTGCTGTGCTGTGCCAGAAGTGTGACCCTATTTTCCCTGTCTGAGCTGCTCCCATGATGGGATTGCAGCAGATGTGGGAGGGTGGGAAGCCATCAGGTGCCGCAGTAGCCCAAATTTTCGCGCCCTTTCAGGTTGGGCAGCCATCAGACTGCAGGGCCAGCCCTGAGCTGTGGGCCAGCTCACTCAGCACTGTCCCCATGTACAAGATGTCTCCTTCTCTCCTTCGCCAGGTGGCTGGTGTGACTGCCCTGGCCTGCGGGATGATATCGGTGGGCTCCTGCAACGGCGATGTCACCTCCACCATCCTCCAGACCATCATGGAGAAGTCGGAGACGGAGCTGAAGGACACATACGCCCGGTGGCTGCCGCTCGGCCTGGGCTTGAACCACTTGGGTAAGGCTGGGCAGAGCCTGGGCAAGGCTGGGTTGGCGGATGGGGTGTGAGCGTCCCTCCGCTGTCCTCTAACCACCACGCCTTCCTCATCAGGGAAGGGAGAGGCGATCGAGGCCATCTTGGCAGCGCTGGAGGTGGTGTCGGAGCCGTTCCGCAGCTTCGCCAACACGCTGGTGGACATCTGCGCCTATGCGGGTGAGTCGGGCTGATCGAGGTGGCAGAGGCAGGAGCGGGTGCCTGGCCCTCCGCCTGCTGATCCTGGCCCTCTGCTCGCCCTCCAGGCTCGGGGAATGTCCTGAAGGTGCAACAGCTGCTGCACATCTGCAGTGAGCACTTCGACTCCAAGGAGAAAGAGGAGGACAAGGAGAAGAAGGACAAGAAAGAGAAGGAGAAGAAAGAGAGCTCAGCTGACATGGGCGCTCACCAGGTGGGGAAGTGTGGGCTGGGACCCGTGTCCCTGGGGCAGGAGCTGGCTTTGGGGGGCTGCCCAAGGCCCGTGTGGGATCAGAGCTGGAGGAAAACAGTCCCCAGCAGTACCCCCTGCTCTCGCTGTCCCCCTGGGCTCAGGGTGGGTGCAGGGGCTGTGGGAACTTGGGTTCTGGGCTGGGTGCTCCCTGCCTGGCGCTCAGTGCCCGTGTTCGCGCAGGGCGTGGCGGTGTTGGGGATCGCGCTCATTGCCATGGGCGAGGAGATTGGCGCGGAGATGGCCCTGCGTACCTTTGGCCACCTGGTGAGTGACACCGGGGGGACAGCACGGAGCCGGGAAGGGACCCGGGAATAGAGACTGGGTCTTCCCTCGTGTCTGTGTAGACCTCGCTGCCCTTAAGCTGGGTCTAACAGCCTCCCTCCGTGCAGCTGCGGTACGGGGAGCCCACCCTCCGCCGGGCCGTGCCCCTGGCCCTAGCACTTATCTCGGTCTCCAACCCCCGGCTCAACATCCTCGACACCCTCAGCAAGTTCTCCCACGACGCTGACCCCGAGGTCTCCTACAACTCCATCTTCGCCATGGGCATGGTGGGCAGTGGTAAGCTGGGGGGGGACGGCCCGGTTTGGGGCTCGTGTCGGGGGGAAGGTGGGAAACCTGAGCGCTGTGCCTGACTCTGCCTGCACCCCCTCTTCCCCAGGTACCAACAATGCCCGTCTGGCAGCGATGCTGCGGCAGCTCGCCCAGTACCACGCCAAGGACCCCAACAACCTCTTCATGGTGCGGTTGGCCCAGGTGATGATCCGGCACTTGCCGCTCATGGCAGGGGAGGGGGGGGTTGGGGTCCCTGCCCTGGGTGTGGGAGGTCAGGGGGGTCCCAGGGGTGTCACACTCCTGCCGGGCAGGGCTGGAGGTCCCAGGCGTCGCTCCACCACGCTCTCTCGTGCTTTCTCTGCCGCACCAGGGTCTGACCCACCTGGGCAAGGGGACGCTCACCCTCTGCCCGTACCACAGCGATCGCCAGCTCATGAGCCAGGTGGCCGTGGCTGGGCTGCTGACCGTCCTCGTGTCCTTCCTGGACGTGCGCAACAGTGAGTACCAGTGGGCTTGGCCCCACCCCGGCAGCCCTCTGCCCCACGGGGCGGGCATCGCTCAGCCCCTTCCCTGCTGCCTCCCCTCCAGTTATCCTGGGCAAGTCGCACTACGTTCTCTACGGGCTCGTCGCCGCCATGCAGCCCCGCATGCTGGTCACCTTCGATGAGGAGCTGCGGCCTCTGCCCGTCTCAGTTCGGGTGGGACAGGTAAGGGGCAGCCAAAGCTGGGGCTGGTGTGCTCTGGCATCCCTCCGTGTCCCCGAAATCTACCTCGCTCATCTCTCGCAGGCTGTGGACGTGGTGGGCCAGGCGGGCAAGCCCAAAACCATCACTGGCTTCCAGACTCACACGACGCCGGTGCTGCTGGCGCAGGGGGAGGGGGAAGAGCTGGCCACCGAGGAGCACGTGCCCGTGACGCCCATCCTGGAGGGGTTTGTTATCCTGCGCAAGAACCCCAACTACGACGTTTGAGCCAGGGG